TCGGATGTAATGTTCATTTCTTCCACGCTTATAGTAGTTTTATATTTTCTGTCATCTTTTGAGAACAGTTTATATTTCTTAAAGGCTTTTGTCTGCAGCTCCTAGCCTAACTTTATAAGCAAACAACGTATAAACGGAAATTCTACTCACTTGCTAATTTTGTATTTTCTGTATTTGTCGCAAACACAAAGTCAAAATTTACAGCACTGAACAAGCTCACAGCAACATACTCAGTCAAAAACTCATTGATCAACAATACAGACTGACAAGCTAACTCTAGTCTAGCTCTGTACTTGTATAAATGTGGCATCAAACCTCCTTCTGGCCAAACAACGAAACAAACAAATTAAAAATATAGTTTAAATCGATAACTTATTTCAGAAAATACAAAAGAAATAAAGAAAAAAAGGTGAATAAGTCGCAAAATGGACATCTGTAGTTACTTTATATGTTTACAAAATATTGTTTAAAAAGTTTTAAAAATATTTTACAACAATTCAGCCTTGATATTATGATGTTATTTCCGTCTGAACTATCAATGCTCGTCTAAAAAACTGGCTATGTCAAAATGTTAAATTTCGATTTGCACTTTGCAAACCGGCTGCGCCAAACGCTACATTAAGTAAATTTCAGACTTAAAATGTTAAAATTCGGGGTTCGATTCCCGTGGTATAGTTTTGCCCTAAAAAACAACACTCTCTACTACTGATGTTCTCCTACAAGACTGGTCACGCCAAACGTTTGGTTTTAAGCTGTCAACGTTCGTCTGGAAAAGTGGCTGCGACAAACATCATATTTTTAAATGATGATGTTCTTCTAGATAACTGGCCATGTTAAACTTTATGTGTATTGCACATCAGAAAAAGTTATAGAATATTTCAAAATAACTATAAGGAGTAAAACCTGGAAATTACAGGGAAGATATGTTTTTATTTTTTGGAAACTGAATGCAAATTTGACATTATTACTGCCCACCAGAAGTGATAGTGAAATTAAACATTTCTATATCAGATCGCCTATTTTTATCTGATATAATGATGACGTACATCTCAGATTTTAAGACAGGTGTGATTTAAAATACAGAAGGTAAGATCGTAAAGATGTTACTTGATCGTGAAACTATCATATTTCTCTAGAGGTTTTGTGTGAATAACTTTCAGGGATGGAAAATATTTAAAAACATAGAACGGAAAGTTTGGAAATAAATACAGCCGAGTTTTCTTGTCAAGGGTCTACATAACATGTTCAAATCCCCCGCTAAGTTGCGGAAGATTAGCGACTAAGAAACAGGTGGTTAACGAACAAAAGACGATAACCTTGCTAAGCACCTTTTTGAGATTATCTTACACGAATAGAAATAACAAATAGAAAAACATGAAGGGTAATTTGGAAACTTTCAAAGCATTTGTTACAGAAAAGAAATCACGAAACATATCTGAAAGATAAGAAATTTATAGAAAACGTTTACCAACTCCATGCTGTGAGCTACATTTTAGGTTGTGATTCTCTCCCTAACATTAACTGCATCCTTTTTTAAACCTTTCAAACTTGTATCATCCCCTATGTAAAGCTAAATCTTATTTCTGTCACCAAAGCACGCACAAATACACACACCTATACATGTATGTATGTATGTATGTATGTATGTATGTATGTATGTGTGTGTGTGTGTGTGTGTGTGTGTGTGTGTGTATATATATATATATATATATATAT